ACATATATATATATATGTAAAAAGTTATTGATGATTCTGATTTCTGGAACTTTCTTCCTAAAGTAGCCTGAGGATCATGGCAAGCAATGATGCAGGACTGCTGCCAGAAATTCAAAATTAATGGAAAGATTTCTACAAAACCTCAGTGTGAAGCTTCTCACGATAGGCCTTGGTGGTGCCTAGCCCTACAGTGTGATCAAAGAGCTGTCTCAATTAACAAACATGCCAGAAACACAAGTTTTGCTCAAAGTGGATTTTTTCTTACACTAAGGAAAGGATCTGATATCAAGAGAAAAAAAAATAAAAAATGGACTTTGTTCATTCCCTTTTTCAGCTTCATAGTGGAATTGTGAATTAGAATTTTAAGTTGCTTCACTTTTTGATGGTAAATACTTTACAAATATTAATCTACTAATGGGCAGGATTGCCTGCTCCAGTATTTGCAGGACACTCATATTTTCTATGGTTTCTCTGGACCTGCAGGACAAACAAAAGGCTTTTCCAAAGTTCTGTAAGTTTTCACTCATGCTGTGAGGTTATTGAGGCATAATGGACTTCGGTGGCTTGCAGAGTATCACTATTTATCTTTCAAGGTAAATAAAATCATCTGTTAAATGTAGCAGAGCACAGTTTGATATGATTTGTAGCTCCATGAAACACTGTCATTCTCTAATGTTAGTAGGTCTTTTAGCAGATTTGGCTTCATTGCAAAGGTGAAGTAACATAACTGCAGCAGCTATAGTGAATAAACTGTTAAATGCAACATACCAAAAACTCAGGTTGGTGGAGCAAATACCTTGTCAATATTTCTTCTGATAAGAAGATGTTTCCTTACCTTGAATGTACTATCATTTTCTAGAGGACGCTGGGAAATGTCGTTCACAGGATTTGTTTCTCAAAGGGGCCAAGTATTTGCAAAGCAGAGGAACCACAGATCTTTGAAAGCTTATAGAATGAATAAATGAATTAATGAATGAATGAATAAATAAATAAATAAATGTCAGGAGAAAAGCATGTTACAGATAGTGTGACCTCTCTTGATGCTTTTTTTTTTTTTTAAGGGGTGAGAAAAAAAGAAAGAAGGAATAATTTACTTTAAATTGTTATTTAGGGACCATAATTTTTTTTTTTATGGTGCTGAGGGAATCATTTATCATAACAAGCACAGTATGCAAGTCTGTTTCTCTTGAAATGCTCCGTTTCTCTGGCTGATGACAAGGAACTATCAGCCAGTTAATCCATAACTGAGTAGCAAAATCTCAGCGTAGGAAATTATCTGGCAGCAACACGAGTTTGCAAGGGCAGAGCTTGGGGTGGAAATAGAAGGAAGAGCTCCACTGCAAGTTTTTTGTTTTGTGTAACAAGGGTTTTTTTATGCCTCTGCCTGCCCCACATTTTTCCTTGACTGGACTAGGCTGTTTGGATTTTAAGCACTAAAATTGGGTTTCTTGGGTCAAAGTTCTGTTTGTGCACACCATTGCAATAGGCACTACTTTGGAGTTTGTCTTTCTGCTACAAGTATCACACAAAACATCCTGTACAGGACTCGATTCAACCTGAGTCTTAGAATGAATCTGAATAGAAACAGGAGTCATTTATACTCCCTTGTTTGTTTGGGTTTTTATCTGGGAAAGTGTGGATGAGAACTACTCTCTGCAATCCCTTCATGTGTCTCAGAACTGCGTGTTCTGACACCTCTGTAATTCATTTTGACCAGCTCCTTCTGCAGCACAATTTTAATGTTCTTGCCATTTATGGGGAACTTCACTCCCCTGAGAGTTCTGCAGCCAGACAGGTAGATGGGTAAGACTCTCATGAGTAGCTGTCTCTTGAGCCACATCGAGCCTTCTGCCAAACACACCATACAGCTGTTTGGCATCCTCAGGGCTCTATCCTGATGATGACACTAGGGACTGCTCCTGAAGTCATGTCCACTGGCTCCTGTCAAGAAATATTCTTCCATTTCAGCATCTGATGGGACAATCTGAAAGAGTGAGGAACTTGGAGAACTGCTCTACTGTTCAAATACATCCTTTGGGATTTGTAATTCAAGGTTTATAAGGCCAGCCTAGAAATTGAATGAGAATGAACACTCTGCCTGGATGCTTCTGGCTAAGATTTGCAGTAGAGTCCAGGGTTAAGATAAAATAAAAATTAACTTTGACTCCTATTCCTTTGGCTGAGATGAGGCTTCCAAACTTTTGTCATGTTACAGTCATGGGTCATGATGTTTTTCTTACTGTGGAAAGAAGAGCCACACTGGTTGCAAGGAAGGATACAGTGATACTTACTGGTGAGCCTGTTCAGGGATGGGTGCTGCTCCCATCTAGTATATGCTCACATGTAAACAGCACTGCAGCCAGCCACCCCTCCTTGCCCTCAGGCACTCACAGGCTGCCTCTGGATGGAGGGTGTTGATTTTCCTCCACAGTGTCTGCTCTGCCAGGAATTTCCTCCAGAACACTTCACACCCTTATTTCCTCCTCATTTCATCCTCCCATCAGGTTTTTTCCTTGCTTCTTGAGCCTTGTGGCTTAGCACATTCCCCTCATTATTTTGATGATGTGTATGGGAAGTGAAGCCTGTTCCTAATTAGTTTTGAAAATGAAGTGTTAATGCACTTTGCTGTGTAGGTAAAAGTAGGTGCTTCAGAGCTGGACCTGTGAGAGCTTTGTAGCTATTGCTCACTGTTCCTGTCTTCTCAGTGCTCCCCATTCTTATGGCTTTTCCTTAGTGCTTTTTTGCTTGTTTGTTTGTTTTTGGTTTTGTTTTGGTTTTTTGGGTTGGGTTGGGATTTTTTTGAATCTCTTCTGTCCATTTTCTTTTAATCCACAACCTCCTTAATTTTCCAGTTAATAAAATAAATGTACATTTCATTAACTAAGCAAACTGAAAGGCAGTGTTGTCAGGTGTGAAGAGCAAGTTTTCCTTTTCTGAATGAATAATTGCCCAAAGCTCATCCTACACAGCATCCACCTTAACAGTCAGTCGGAAGGAGAAGGTAGTTCAATCGTTGTGTCCACTTTGCCAGCAAGGACACCTATCCTGAGAACATCAGCAGGAGAGCCCAAGGCTGCCTCCTAGTTTAGGATGACTGCTGAATAGGTAATTCATGTGTTACAAGAGCTTATTTGATCTAGAGTTGGCAGACAGCAAAGTTGGAGGAGGAGCCTGTGCCTGTCTTCCTCCATGTTACTAATCTGCCAGACATCTAGGATGCCCTGGCATCTGGATAATGTATCATGTAGGTTGTGAAGATTTTGAGTTAATGTGAGTGATGCTCTTGTCGGAGATCTGGGTGTAGTTTGTTTCTGTCTGAGTCCACAAAGGACTCATGTAGACAGGGGACATCATGCAATAGGAAACAATTAGACTTCAAAGACTCAGAGCCTGAAAACGAAACAAAATCTTAAACTATTTCCACAGGCAAGCAGAATGAAAACAGCAAACCCTTTGGGCTTTACAACAGAGCCTGGCAAAATTTACACAAGGGAGATGTGTCTAGGGTTTGTCATACATCAGTGCCATTCCTAAGGTTTTTTCTCATGATGGTAATGCTTCTTTCAGCATGACCAGTCATTGTGCTAAACAGATGGCCACTCTGATGAGATTTAGCTAAAAGCTTTTAATGTCTTTTTAAAATGTGACCTTTTATTTCAGGAGAGGATCCATGGCACAATCTGGAATGAGATTGATGACTTAAAGGCATTCAAGGTGTTGGATCTAGAAGATTTTGAAAAGATGTTCTCCGCATATCAGAGACACCAGGTAAGGGTGAACTCTTCCACATCTTCTCTTCCTTGGAATTCTGGAGAAGGAAGGAACACGTAACAATTATTTGGGCCCTTGTCCACCTGCAGTCAGGCTGCATCATTTGTTTCTCTACCACTGTTCAAAAAATCACAAGACTAGAAGAAGTGGGGAGGGCATATAGGGCAGAGTATAACCTTCTGTTATCAACGTAGTTTGTTCTAATGGGCAGCTTTCAGAGACAGCAGCTCCCAACAGGTAGTACTCTATTTGTTCTCAGCAGCCACTGGCTTCCAAAAGCTCCTGAGCTTTACAGTCATGCTTGATATCCATCTTTCTATTTATCCCATTCATCCAAAGAAAAGTTTGTAGTTGCCTGAGCAACTACACTGAGCAAGGTGATTGAATTAGCTGTCTCTCACATTGTCTATTTTTTGTCTTAAACAGCCAACTGATCCATGTGGCTAGGTGACAAACTGTCTGAATTGCAGATTATAACAGAGATTTCCCTCCTCTTTTTCTTGGAAAGCAAGTCACCTTGCATCTGTCTATCTCCACTGAAAGAGATTTAGAAGAAGATCCATTATACTTGCACTCCCTGAACTCCCCCAGCTTTCCTTTTCTTTTGGAATATGTTTGGAGAGATTCAATCATTTGTACTCTGCAGAACTGGGCCACTTCTCTGAAGTTTTAGGAAAAGGCACAGACATGATTGCCATAAGCAGCCTGTATGATTAAGCCTTACAGTGATGATGATTACTTCATTAACTTACTCAATACCTTAAAATTAACAAACCAACCCCTTGTTTTTGGACTTTCCACCTGTTTCCATCTCTCTCTCTCATTTTTCTATCTAATACAAAAAACACAATGAAGAACTCTTCTGATTTACTGGCTCACAGCCACATGGATAAGTATCCCAACCTGAACTGTGAACAATGTGGTTTCCCATTGCATGATGAGATTTCATTTCTCGTTCTGCTCCTGCAAATAGCTGTTGCTGTTTCAGTGGGTATCTCTCTCTTTCTGTGAATCCCACTCCCTGAAACAAGAACTTAGTTCATAGAAGGAAAGAAAGGCACATGAAACTTCAGTGCTGTTACCAGACTGGATTTAGACTGTGAGCCAATGCCTTACAGTTGGTGGTGAGCTCCCAGTTGTCTTGCAAGTGGCCAGACTGTCACCTGTGGGCATGAGTAGCCATTGCAGCATCAAGGTGTTTCAGGGACAAAAATTGCAGCTTTCTCACAAGAAATTACCTTGCAAATCTTTACTGGGCCCTAAAGTCTAAAGCCAAAGCTGTCCTGGTCTGATGACTCTCAGTTAAAATCATAAATATGATTGTTACCAATCACTGAAAAGCAGCCTGGCCTGTTTGACCACAAACTAACCTGACCCTTGCCTCTGCCTACTGGAATGGAGCATTCATCTCAGAGTGACCTCCATGGATCTCAGAACAGTTCTCTTCCATCCTCACTAAACACACTTTATGACAGTGGCTCCAAACACTAAAGTATGACTTATGTGTGCTACTTGTATTTTTGTGTAGTTATGTGTGTTGCTGCCCTTCCAGATTTCATTGAGGGGTTTGGTTTTTTCTTTTCCTTAAACTTTCCATTGTTATTACTATACATGGTACTTCCTTTTTCATCCATATTCATCCCAATGGGAACTGGATGCCAATCAACAAGGGCAAGGTTTTTTGGTGTCTTTTTTTTTTGAAGACCAGGCAACCAAAATTGCTTTTGAATCAAAAGCTTACGAGAACTTTTCCTGTTGATTCACACTTAGTCTTTTCTCCTCTTTTATTTCTGGAAATACTCCACTCTGGCCGAGTATGTGTTTACCCGGGCTTGTGACTTTTAAACTTCATCCAAATGTCTGTAAAGAAAAATGTCAATGCAAAGCCCTGCTCTTCTCCATCTGAAATGTTGAATACAGATAAAGACATTCCTTTCTTTGCTGTTATTAACAGGATCTTCATGTTTTTTTCCAGTTTCATTTACATTAAACAGCTTTTCTTTCTTCTTTTTTTTTTAATGGTGAGGGATCTCTTCTCCTCTCTCAAGCCCAGTGTATCATTTTTGGTGGCTATGGTGGAAAATAGAATTGTCCAGTGTGCAGAACGCTGGACCAAGAATTCTTAGATCTGCCTTTTGACCTTGCCTCAGTCTTAGTGTGTAATACTGACCAGTGTATCTGGTGTTTTCTTGGAGCATGGAAAACATTGTGAAATAGCTGGTACCTGTCACCTAGTAGTGCTGTACAGGTTCTTTGGTGGTTACAGAGTGCTGTCAAAATACTTGGCTATAAGTTGTTAAAGGCTATAGTGTGCTGTTGAAACAAGTTGTTCCTAATAATATCAAACTGTGCCTGGCTGTCAGGAGAGGAGAACTGACCCTCAAGTTTTAACCTTGGCACTTCTTTCAGTAAGGCTCCGGACTAGATTTGTAAAGGTATTTAAGCATTATCCTAGTTAATGTTTCATGACATAAGAGATTTATGCTTTGGGGACTGGATTTATTCATTTCAGGAAAGACCTAGAATTCTTAGTTCCCCAACATCTGCTGACTTAAAATATGCAAAGAAATGCTGAAATACCTTTGAACCATCTGGGCCAGTATTACTTGCTAAGCATTTTATTCTCTTTAGAAAACAGTGTGTGTCTAAGTTCAGCTGCCTTGTTAAACTTGATATCTTTCTCTGTGACTAATTTTTGGCATGTTTCCTTCTTCGTTATTTGCGGCTGCTGCCTGCATAGGACCTGCTAACTAACCCCTCCTCCTGTAAGCAGGTGAGTATCATTGTCTGCCTCCTGATCCTCTTGCAGTGTGTAGGAAGATGAAGTCCTGCATCATGCTGTTGTGGGGTCATGACTCATCTCATGCTTCTCGTTCCTATGCCCTTGCACCTCTGCTTTCTGGGTGGGGAAGGTGGTACAAAAAATTCTTTCAGTTGTATTAGCTCTGCAGTAGGAAGCAGTCCCTGTTCTTTCACTTAGCTATAACCTCACTGTGGTTTCTGCTTGGTGTCTGTGGTCCCCTTTTTGATGATCCTTAGGAAAAAAAGACCAGGGGCAAAGTAGAATGTGAACATTAACTCTTCCTTAGCCAAAGTAATAGTCTCTCCAGTGGGAGAACAAAACAGGCTCTCAGGGAACTTTCATTCCCACTGTTCCCATCTGTGGTCCATCTGCTTTGGACAGTACTGAAATCTCCAGAGGTATTCACGAGCCATAGACTTTCTGATAAAGAAAATCTTTTTTTCTGTAGAATTAGAAGGCAGTTTTGTTGGGCAGAAGGATTTGTGCCAGCTGAGGAGCAGAAGGGTTGGACTGGAGCAAAGCTTACTTCATTTCATACTGCTGAAACCCTCAGAAAGTTCACCGAAAGACTGAATGGTGTTTAGATGAAGTAGAGATATCAGACTGCCTGCATGACTTCAAACTGACTACCTCTCAATTTATTCAACACCTTAAGCAAAATTCTTGGCCACACTTTTGGGAAGAGCAATGCTCACAGGTGATGGTTGTTCAGATGTCATCACAAGTGCCTCTGGTGGCTTCAGAATAAACTCATCCTCACCATGAGTGCTCAGGGGACTGTATTTGGAATGTCTAGTCTGGACCTCTGCTACTGGGTGGGGCTGATACATGACTCTAGGCAATTAAATGGGTTTTGTTATGGCAGCCTGCACCATAAAACAAGTCAACATGGTAGGAATATGTCCCTAAAGTATCAATAATTACTAAAACTTAGTATGCTGCCATGGTACCAGACCACAGGTTCTGCAGCTAACCAAACCCAAGCTGTATTTGAAACAGGGCATCAATATGATGAACACATTCCACACACCATCCTAGCAGTGAAATTTTAGTTGATTTGTGAAATTGCAATTAAAATCTCAAATCTGAAATAAATCTTTGAAGCATGTAATCTAATGTCATTCCAGATGGAAAGTTGGTAAAGAATGATGGGATAAAACGTAGAGATCTTGTCTTTCAGGTTGACAACTCCAATGATTCTTGCTTTTTGTGCTTGGCCTATCTCACACAAGCTAGTCACTACTGCCCTATTACTTTCCTCTGTGTCTAAGAAAACGCAGACAGTCCAAATGCAATCTGTTTTCCTTCAGCTAGTCTTGCAATATGGCTTTAGTAAAACCTGAGGCTTCATCTGGTTTTGCTTACACACAACTCCAAGTATCTATAAATATCTCTCTCCTCAATATCAGTTGAAGAGAATATATTTTTAGATGAGACTAACCTCATTCCTTATGACCAAGGAGTGGGCCACATCTGATTAGTTCAAGTTATTAATCTGTGTTTAACCTTGTGAGTTGGAAAATTGGAAATGGCATGGAGAATATTATATCAATCCATGCTGCACAGCTTCAGGGAAAGCCATCTAAACCCTCAACCTGCATACACAGCCAAACCCTGAAACAATTTGGGTTTTTTCCTTTGAATGGGTGATCTTCCAGATTACACTGCAGGTGCCCTGTTTTTTTGGTATTGTTAGTTATTTTCCCAGAAATAATTAACTTGCCCAATGCCCAGTTTTTTCCTTTTCCTGGATACACAGTTTGATGTATCAAGTAATGTTGCAATTTTTTTTTTTCAGCCAAGCTAGACACTGTTTTGCACATCCAGAGTGTCTTCAGCTGGTTCATTGTACCTCCTTATAAAAGCCACTTAATATTGGTGGTGGCACATTTGGACATGGTTGTATGAAACTTTTGTATACGCAGGAGCAACACAGGCTCCTTGTACCTGATTCTACCCAGAACTCAAATGACAGCTAGCAATATGAATCTAAAGTTTACATTTAACTCTCAAATACTTGGATGCCAAAATCTCATGCTGATATAAATAAGCCTTGAGCTGCAGCACGCTGAGTCCTGGGATTGAGTTATGGGAAGCACTGTTGTATGCTTGCTGTGATCTTACACCTTTCCCTGGGTATCTGCTGCTAACCACTCTCAGAGACAGGACACTGTCTGAGGTGGGCTTTCTGACCTGACTCACATTGCTTGCTGTCATGTCCTAAGAAAGAAGCCATGTTGCTAATTTGATGGGTGCATTCAAAGCTAGATTATACTGGTAAATCTCAAGGCATGACAATATGGATATCATGGAAAGGCATTTTTGAAGAGGCTCTAGCAGCAGTTGGCTGGGAGAATAAAACCTGTCCTGTTTCCAAGTCCCTCTTCTCTGCCATAACTACAGAGCTATTATCCAGGATTAACACCTTTTATCATTACCTCTACTTCCCTTTAAGGAATGGTGTTAAAAGATACTCATAGTACAGAAAGCTAATCTCTGGAAGTGAGGCAATACCCATGGCTCTGGTGTGCAGGTGGGACAAGGAGGCAGAGACTTCTGGATGGTCAGACTGGGTTTGCAAATAGTTTCTCTTTGTGTGCTGTGACAAACATTTTGGATGGGGCTTTTCCAGGTTTTTTTCCAGGTGACGAGTTTGGCAATGGGGATATACAGAGAACTTTGATAAAGGGTGGTATCTATACAACTAAAAGTATTAATTAATTTTTAAAAAAGAGGCTATTTCAGATGTAGATGCTGACCATTTAGTAAGAAAAATGCCATCTTGCCCTGCTGTTTGCATCTCTCATGTATAATATGGTTTGGACTGGCCCAGTGGCAGCCTTAAGAGATGATGGAAGGAATTTTCCTGATTGTGTTGCAGCTTTTCAAGAATGCTGTGTAACCCCTGCAGGAGGCATCTGCTGAATAATAACATAACTGTTGGTTCAGTAAGTCAAATAGGTCAGAATTAGGTCCAGTATTTGGAATCAAAGCTGGTCTCATAGGTGATAATGAATTAATTTTGTCTAGTAATACAGGGTCTGCCTACATGTTTTCTGCCCTTCTTGTCTCCTTTTTTCACCATGTGGGTGGGTTCTCCCAGGTTGGGATGGGTGTTCATTGCACTCAGCTAAGTCTGTCAGTCTTGAGTGAGAAACATAATACTGACTGTTTTCCCTCCCTTTTGAATCATATGCAGAAAGAGATGGGTTCAACAGAAGACCTGTACCTCTCCACACGAAAGGTGAAAGAGCTCTCTGTGATTGACGGCCGGAGGGCCCAGAATTGTGTCATTCTTCTTTCCAAGTAAGTGTGCTAAACCTTAGCTCACAGGGTATTCCATGGTCAGTGTAGAAACAAAAGGGGATGGGATTAAGCTAATGGACATGTTTGTTTTCCCAACTAGATCTGCTGCCTAATAGTTGCAGAGCTTCAGAGAAACCCCTCTTGCAGTGTCAAGAAAGCACATGTCTCTCTGAAGTATTAGCTCATTTAATAACATAGGCACACACATTTTGTTCATTAAACAGACACACCCCAGGATGTATCTGAAGACTCATTACCAAAACTTTGGTAGATGAAAGCAGTGCTTGTACTTCACTCTAAATGATATGTCCCCCACAAATGTCACTTGTCTCTGTTCTGTATGTCTCTTTCTAAACCTTGCTCTGCGTGTCTCCCTGGAACACAGCAGAGCTGATAGTCATGTTCATCTTTGCCATTTTTGACTCTTAAGTGAGAAGACTGATAAATGTAAGAAGGTGTATTCAAGAATTAGGTCTTGTATTTGCAAATTACATTTTGGAAGCCAGGAGTTAGTGGCTTTTGTATGTTCCTGCAATGACTGCTGCCTTCAGATACAGAGCCATCATGGCCCTCTATATGCTTTTCATGTCTTTCTACCAACATGAGTACTAGGCTCGATGTCTGTTGCTAAATACCAAATTTGTGCAGATACTGATCCAGCTGAGAAAGCTGCCTTTCCTACCATAAGAGGGACAGCAGGGCTGGAGACAGAACCTGGGACATCTGTGGCAGTGCTGAGCAATAAAACTCTTTCATTGACCAGTAGAAAATGCAGGTTTGTGTGGATGTGACTGCTTATCTGCTCTAGCAAGCTAACAGTTAAAAGCAAATTTGCAACCAGACCACCAGTACTGGAGTGAGTTCTTTCCATTGCATAGTGAAACCCATGGAGGCCCTCATTATGCTACTTATGTGGCATTAGCCTCCATGTCAGCAGGACCCCCACCATCCAAACCAGCAAGGAGGGAAAGTTTACATTTCTCTCTCTGCAGCAGTTGCCAACACATGTCTTTGCTGGTGTTGGCAGCTGACTGCAGGCTGGGGCAGAGGAATGGGGAGGCATAAGGGCAACAGGATTTTCATGCTGTTTGACAGCCCTGCTAGATTGTGTCTGGAGGTCAGATTAACTCACGTAAGCAGGTGGAATGTTTCCTAGAAGTGGTAATATAAAGTGTGCAGTTGGCTGGGCTGAGGGCGATCCAGGAAGCTGGTCTGTGGCTTGATATGATGCTAGATATTTATTTGTTAAAATCTTCTCTCTCCAAAACAAAAGCAGTGTGGATGGCAGTGGTACACGTTTTTTACCATTCATCTCTTCTGCCTTGCACGTCTGGCCCATTCTTACCTGTAAGGGTTCTTCTCTAAATGATGAGAGAGAAAAAGAGCAGCCTCTGTGGTTTGTCTTCCCTTCTGCTGCCTCCAGCAAAGTGGCACTGAAGCATGAACCTCACACTTCAGGGTACATAGTGTATGTTTGCTCCAGGTGTGCCATGGAGCCAGTCCACCTCAAGCTGCTAGTCTGCACTCAAACCAGAGATGAAAAGCTGTACTCTGTGACTGTCAGCTTCTCCTCTAGGAAACACCCTGGTCTCATTGTCAGTAGGCCTAGCATGGATGAAAGAGATTTGGAGACTGAGCTCACTGTCACTAAGGAGTGTGCCAGTTTTTATTGTGCCCTGGTAACTTTGCTGTGCTGCGCTATGGGCAACACCAGTCACCAGAGCTACCACCAGCTTAGATTGTTTGATGCTTGTAACAGATAGTGTTATACCCAGGATAACAGAAATATTTTACAGCTTGGCCCAGGATTCCTATTCCTCCCAAAACTTGCCTTTTAAATGCAACTAGAAATGCAAAAATCTTTAGGAACTAAAACGTCATCTCTACAGTCATGCCTTTTTTTGTGCTCTTTGGGCTTATATGGTTCTATTATTAAAGACAGCAACTGGGAGGATTAGTTGCAAACAATAATGAAAGGGGTTTATGACCCCATTGCAGATTTTTTCCTAACCTCACTTCTTCATCCTTTAGGTTAAGCCCTGAAGGAAAGACACTCCCAGCCAAATCATCCCTGGCTGCTGGTCATCATGCCCTTATTGCTCCTACAGTGCACCTTGCACATGTGTGCACATGGGTGTGCACACACGTGGAATGAGAGGGGGTTTAAAACTGGTGACAAACAAAGAGAGTTTGTGCAACCCTGAGCTGCAGCCCCAGCTTTCAGGTTGCCACACTATCTGCCAACAGCTGTTTCCAATTGACTCTTACTGTGCATATATCCCTGTAGTTTATTCCCCCTTTGTTTACACTAAACTGTCGTGTCCTTTAAAGTAAAATAGCTGCATGGGTTGGGTTTTCTTTCCCTTCACTACTCAAATGTTTTTGTTTTACTAACACTGTGTTAGAAGGGGTCAGGCAGAGATCATATTTCATATGGTCCAACATGCCAAAACCTAGCTCTTCTTTCACAGCGAGGCATGATAGACTGAAAAGAGATGAAAATTGAATTGCTAGCTGATTTTTGCTGACAGTTAACAGATTTGTAAACCTTCCTTCCTGTTCTCATCTCTATTTGCATTTAAAAAAAGCTCTGTTTCAACTACCTGGTAGCAGCATCTTTCAGTTTTCCTGCAGTGGAAGGATGTAATTGCCCTTGTTGAATGCAGTCTGATGGATCCAAACTGAAGCTCTGTCCTATAAGCCAACTGTAAAGGTTTGAATAGATCATTTTATCTCACAGTATTTCCAGTAGGCCATAATTCAACCAGGACATGGAACCATCTGTCTGTGGTGAGTCCAGATGCCCACAAGCTTCAAATCTGGCTTTCTTAATGGTGTTTCCAACATACAGTTATTTCTGTCACACTGGAAATCTGCTATCCCTTATGAATTTCCTGATGTCTTCAGTTTCCACAAAGCTGGAGATTTACTGTCAGACTTGTGTGGTCTGGAAGAGTCATCCCAGATCCCTGTGTTTCCTTGCATTCACCTAGCAGCTGGAAAAGCCTCTGACCTCTCTCACCACTATGTCTTCTCCCTGCCACCATTACTTAAGTAATGGGTAGTGGTTTTGCTACTCTAATGTTTTTATTGTACCATACCTTTAAATGTTCTTGCAGAACATTAAATGGTCCTTGCAGAACATGCCTAAGACATGTGTTGCTTACTGTCTTGCTCTCTGAAATCCTCTGGAGAGGTCCAGTTCTATGAGGCACGTTGCTAAGAAGAAGGCTGAACATATACTTATGGAACTTTTTTGTGCAAGTTATTTTGCATGAATTCCAGCAAAATCATTGTGTCAGTGTTCTTCTGAGATGTGTTTGCTATTCCTGTGGCCCAGCTAGTCAGCAGTAACCCCCTCAAGAGGCTGGAAACAGTAGGAGCACTAGCAAAACATCACAAACCCCTAGTAGCAGGAGGCAGAATCTGACTACAAAAAAAAAATATTTTAAAATGTGAATATAACAGTAGATAGATACTAGGAGGCAGCTTTACCAAATATATGTGGCTTTCATGATTGTCAATTCAAACATCTATCAATAGGAGAGAAGAAAAGGGACTTGAGCAGCATTTCCAACAAGAATACTAAAGAGGCCAAGTATTTCTCTCACATAGCTCAGTGCTTCTAAACCCATTCAGTTCAGACACGAAGAGAACAAGTTATTCAGCCAATGTTAGTCTCCATGGACAGTCCCCATGTGCCTTTCTGCCATGTGACAATAGAGTGTTCACCCTTATTTCAAGGTAGATAACAAGCAGTATGATATTTTGAGATACAGATCATATCTTGATACAGAAACAGCTCGTGGACTCAGCAGTTCAGTTCCTCAGTGTGCTGTCTGGAAAAACACTAGCTAAGAAACAGTGCCTCTTGGGTTCCTGGAGAGATTTTCTGGTTTTAAGTTAATGTCCACAATGAATGGCTTCACCCACTATTCTGAGTATTATGAGTATGGAGTATGAACTCCAAGGTTAAATTGAATATGTCAGTTGATGGGCTGTCAACTGTCTTAGATCACAACTAGGAACCAGTAGGTAGGGTGTGATAAAAGATGAATCACTGCCTTACGAATATGTCACTGGAATTTGGGATTCCCTGCTTTGCTCTGCTTGGCTCAGGAAGATGCCCATTCACAGATCCTTCTTGGTAGGAAATTGAGTATTGGGATGCAGAGTAGCTCAGTCACTCATGAGCTTTGCTGAAGGAAGAAAAGCCTGTTTCTTTATCTGCCTGGCAACATACTTTTGCAGTGAAGTGCTGAAGGATTTTTTTTCCCAGCATGTTGATATAAAGGTGTAATATATACCTGGTAAAATGTCCCAGCTGTTGTCCCCAAAATGTTAAAGCACTGTTGTCTTCAGTGACGAGATGAGTTGGCAACTGAGGTAAGAGGATGTGAAAAGAGAGGCTTCATCTTTCTGTCTCCTGAGTGAATGTGCAGTTAGACCAGCCTGACTTCTGAGAGCGGGGAAACATCTCCTTTTCCTGCCTTTATGGGGTAGTGACAGTGAGCATTCCCAACATGTAGATATTTAACAGCCTGAAGCTTGGCAGTTGCACAGAGCTTTGGGAGACCTCAGGAGTTAGAGGAGGCTTCTGTCCCAGTCACAGAGCTCGGGAGTGCGTTCACCAGCAGCTGGTGTGACGTGAGCTGTGGAGACGGAGAATTCTGCAATCGGCAAAATCTAAGATTTAGCTAAGCTCTAAAAACTGTCCTTAGCTACGTATCAGTCACTGTCACAGCTACTACTGTTGGCAGCTTTTGGAAAATCTAAGATTTAGCTAAGCTCTAACTGTCCTTAGGATGCAGCTACGTATCAGTCACTGTCACAGCTACTACTGTTGGCAGCTTTTGGATGTACTATGGCTCAGTTCAGTTTGAAGTAGAAGAAGGCCTCGATATACGATAAAAAGTCCCCTCCTCCTTTGGTAAAAGGAAGAGTGGAGTTACGATCTCTGTGGTGTGGGAGCTTAATGTAGCTGCAGCAAAATGCCAGGTTCTCTGGTAGTAGGCAAGCATGCTTCTTTCTCTAAAACTAAGCAAGATTCAAGGAACAAGCCCATGAAGTAACTCACTTTTTCCTCTGAGGGGGAGATGGTTAATGAGCGACGAGTATTCTACTTTGATCCATGGGAGGGAGGGAAGGAGGGGGGAGGTTACTATGAGTTAAATCAATGGGTATATTTAGGGAGTTAAAATGAGCGAGCACTAGATGTCTGTAAGGGAAGTTGATGTAAAACTGCAACGTCTCCCAGGCATGTTCAGAGTCAGGCTGCCGGCTTTCTCCAAGAGGATGAAACAATAAACCACTTGATGTCTGCAAGTGAAGCTGGTGTTAAATCAGCCGAGGTGTCCTGGGGAGATTAGTGATGAATTACTCTGCAGAGTCAATAGAGATTATTTATGAAGCCGGAGGGGATAGAGGGAGGCAGGCTAAGTACCATATCAGAAGTTATTTGGTACTTGTTGAGCTTTAACATTGCTTGAAGATGACTCAAGCAGTTGGACTTTCATTTGCTGCCACCAGATGTATGGGTGAGCGAAGAAGGAGGGAGTATTCTCACTAAAGATCCTTTTCCTTCCTCATCTGACCAGAGTCAGGCTGCCGTTGAACAAAACCAGCCAATGTCTGTGATATGAATGAATGTGCAGCAGCTGAGGAAAGGGGCATTGTGTTTTCTTCTGCTTACATTTACTTCCTGAGTTCTGATGCCAGGATCAGTGATTTGGTGAAGTGTAAGGCAGAGGGAATAGAGTTTGAATCGTATGCTGTTCCGAATTGAGTTGTCTCTAGCAGCTGGAGGAAGAGTGCCCAGATCTGCCAAGCTTGTAAGAAAGTCATTGTAGACTTGCCAATAGATACCGAAATGTAATTTCCGTAGTGTAAATTTTGGGCCCATAATTCCACTTTAATTTGCTGTCTGTCCCATATGAGTTTTAGGCTCTGAGGGATGCCTCTATTTGGTTCTAAATGGAAAGATTTTATGCATCTGCTTCAGGTTCCTCTTTAATCAGTTCACCTGTTTCTGTTTAAAAGCAGCACATCTGTTTCCCATTACTGCTGGCCATCTCTAAGATCTACTGCATGGCTGGGTATGAGTTTGAAAAAACAAGAAGAATCACTTGATTAACAATCCTTTGGCCAGTTATTCAGCCGGTTTTCAAGTGGGCAGATCTCTTGTTTGTGCTGTTGATGCTTACAGCTCTTGAAAAGTGTCCTGTCCCAGAAGAAGAACAAGCCCACTTTGGAAGAGTAAGAGGGTTTTGCTGTCAATCCTTCTGTACGTGTAGTTGGATTGGTAGTAATCTGGGATGCACACCTGCAGGCACCAGGGCCTGGTTACAGGCCTGTAAGTGACCAAGTTAAACAGCTTCTCGGCAGGGGCCTGGCAAGCTTTCTGCTGCTCTCTACTGTGGGCTAAACCATTCCAGCCAGATGTTTTTCTGCTGATGGCAGGGCACAGAATCGTCCAAGAAATCAAAGTGTTTGTATAACTCTCTGTCCTCAGGGCTTTCAATTATTTTTGAACCGAAGATGTTTTCAAGTGTATTTAGAGCTGATGAATGGCAGCAAACATAGGAGCTTGGAGTCTGAAGTCCTCAGGCTTCTGGACAGAACAACAGGATTAGCAATAGCGCACATTACACCTTCTGTTGTGTTGGTGTACCTCAGACCTGTCTATTTGGTCCTGTTTGCTGCATACCCAAACACACACAGAGATCCTTGAACTGTGTAATGACCTGGTCAGCACAGTAATTGCTTGAGTTATCTGCACAGAAAACTCATGAAACTTGCTCTCATTCTTTTTATCCTCAGTGAAAGTAGCAACAAAACAATAACCACTCTGGTGTTCATGGGTTGGTTTATTGTGTTCCTTCTGACAGACTGTGTGTCTGTGTTACAAGAGAGAGCTAATCTGTGGAGTCCTGGTTCTGGAAAAGGTGAAGTACTCTCTGAAGGAAAACTAACCAACAAAATGTAGCACTTTAAAAACTGCAGGCACCAAATTGTCTGGGTATGTGTATAGGTGTCTGCTAGGAGCCAGGCCCATACCCACCAGTATGCTTCTCAGCCATCATGTGGTCACATGGTTTGATCAGCTCAGGATCACACAACCATTGACTTCACAATTCAGGATTATTAAAGCCAAAAGAAACCTTTCAATTTTCTGATTGAGACTGTAGAGTTTTATGCAGAACCCCAGGTACTGAGGTTTGTTGTCTTGATCCCAAGTCAAATTTATGAACTAAAGTAAAAACTTTCCAACCTTTTCATTGTAAAACTTCTAATCCTTACTTCATATCCAACCATAGCCCAATTATGTAGGTTTTCTGGAAATTCAGTAGCTTTATCTTACTTAATTGGTCTCAGTTTCCCCTCCTTGTCAAAAGTAGATGAGATGACCAGCTATGAACAGGGTGAGAGTGATTAGTTCAGAGGTGTAATTTTTAAAACTTTTGAATGTCTGCTGATTCATATTTTAGTTTCCAGCTGTTTGTTATATTGGGCAATATTAAAATCTTTTCAGTTTCTTAGATTTAGTAATATTTCCTGTCTGTAAAAATAAAGCTCTTTCTTTTGCTTTTACCTAGTTCCAAAAATATGATTCTATCCAAATGGCAATAGGAATGTGAAATTTCAACATGGAATTTCTTAGTACTGAAGACAAAAACATTCTGCCTCATGCATCAGCCTGTCTCTCGTTTATATGTGCATTTTCTCTTTCTGTTGTTAATTAATCATACTGATTGTATAAGGTCCATGGAGACTGCAGACTTCAGTCCTCAAATATTTCTTTTCACACTTTCCTATTTCAGTCCCCAAATTGAGATTTTTTTTTTGGGGGGATAGACTTTCTTTTATGGTTCATTTGATCCTCCCCTACTCTCCTGAAGTGACTGATGAGGGTGCCATGGATAGGGGGTGGTGGGGTAAAATTTGTCTCTTGTGCATTTTTTTATTGACATTTGCACTGAGAGCCATCAAGTTCATTTCATGTGAGCTATCAAAAAACTTCTCAATAATCAGAAATTTTGACTCCTCCTGGTCTGCCCTGGATTTCAAGTGGAGACCTCGAGAGGTTTTTTAATTAATTCTGTAATTTTGTTGAATTAAAATGATTAATTCAATCATCTTGTTGTAACTGATGATCCCTACTCATTGCGCAAATATGGAGAGGAGTAGGTGGGAAGGAGAATGTAGTAGTTTTTATACCTCAGATAATATTAATAAGCTCTTATTTTCACAGCTTGTTTCGTATTGGGTATGGATCTATAGATCTAACTGTGGATACATAGATGCTGTCAATGCTTTCTTCAATTGTGACTGCTGACAGAGTGAATTTACCTAGCACAACCAGTCTTCTCACAAGAAACACTTTTCTCAAATCTGTAAAAGAAAGATGTCCCATTACTTGTTACTCTGGGAGATGCTTTAATATTCATAAGCTAGGGTGTTACAAGGGCTCACAGTCGCTTACAAGTCACATCAATTTGAGAGATTTTACTTTAGTAAAAGAACTTGATGAGGGAGGTATCTCAAGGGGGAAGGGGGAGAATTTGATCTATGAGGACCTGATTGTTCTTCATCACCATCTAATTTTTTATGTGTGTTTGATTAGCTGAAGAGGATAAAAATATATGATCTATAAAATCTCTGCCTTTTGGACTGATTGGTTCATCTTGCTGAATACTCTAGAATAGCAGTGTCCAAGTAGAGCTTCCTATGGTTCTTTTGTGCCTTTATAGTGCAGCTTTTCAGGCTTCCTACTTTCTGAATTGTCAGTCACTTAAACTCTGCTCTAATGGTACAATGTTGATGCTATTGAAAGGCTGAAGCTGACTAATGAAGAAATCAGACAAGCAATCTTGAAGATGGATGAACAAGAAGACCTCGCAAAAGATATGCTTGAGCAGGTGAGTAAGATTGCAGTCAGATATATCTTATTCTTAAGTCCTTCACTGCCTTTTTTACACCTCAGGTTAGTGGAGCTGTACCTGGGAACATGAGAAAAATATTTTTCCCAATGCTGTCAGATATACCTCCCTTGTATAACTCTATTTGTATCAGATTGACTTCATAACAATTTTCTCTCCTCGATGCAAACTATGCATGATTACAGATGGTATGAGGGTTCCTTTCATGTCCTCTCTTCTCCCCTGTGGCTTTCCTATAATTTTTCCCATCTCTTCTTTATAATGCTCATTATTTTTTTGTTGCTGTTGTTCTTTTATCTTTTTTGGTTTTTTGTTTGTTTGTTTTTTGTTTCCTTAATCTCCCTTCTCTTTCTGCAGCTTGTTCATTGGGAAGTGCCAGGAACCAGGCCATGTAGGTCAACAGTTAGAGCTGGGACTGGAAGGAATCTCACATTTTAATTAGAATGGTTATAAAGGGAGTCAGGGACTTCTGTCCCTTTCAGTTGGTTCACCACATAGTTTGTGAGGAAAATGAACAACAACAACAACAAAAATTAAACTGCTACTGGCCAATTTCTCTCATTTTTAGAAAGTGAAAGATGATGCGTTGACCAAAGATGAGTGTGATGAAGTTCCTTAGGAGTGTGCAAAATGTTATAATTGTGGACTGCCTGACAAATGTGATTCCTTCCTTCTGTGCAGGCACAGCATTTAATTGTGCATAAAAAGCTTTTCCATTTTGGAAATTTATAGCCTGCTTGTCATGTTATCTGAGTGCTCACAGCTGCTCTAGAAGTCACTGCAATTTTCTGGTGCTCCACACCTTTAAATATCACATTTTTGGGGAGCGGGATAAAATATTAAAAAGTAGTAAAAAGCAAAGTGCTTGATGTGCCTTCTGAGCAGTTTTTGTGGGTGTGCACTGAGGCTGTGTGCATGGCAATATTTATAACCATACTAAAGCATAACTACCACCAGATATGTCAAAAATCCATCAAAGTATGAGCTTTTAAGGTCAGCATATGAATAGGAGCTAGTGTCAGACACATATCCAGTCGCTTGGCTATTGTTTATTGTTCCAGCAGAGCTGGGCAGATCTGAGAGAGATAGATGAGGCTTTGTTTGTACTCTAGGATAGGCACGATGGGCACTTCACACTGAGTGGGGACACATCCTGCTCTTGTTTGCACCAATCTAAACTCCAAGCAGTGCTGTGGGAATCCAAGTTCTCTCTGTACTTCCCCTTGGGTAAGCTGCAGTAGCGTTTGGCCTTTAGGATTTAGAAATAGGAAATTCCCCGTAGAATTAAAAATTAATCTAATGGGGTCAGTGAGGGATAAAGACAGAACCACGAGCAAAGGTTTAAAGAAGGTCAGTTTTGTAGCCCCAGCTGGACTTTTTTGAAGTTGCAGTCACATGGCTGAGGCAGTGTAATGCTTCCACATGGCAGCAAAGCAAACTGAGGGCCCTCTCTCTCCGTCGGGGTTTGTTTGTGCCTCTCTGTCCATCTCTCCTCTCCCCTGGGTCTCTCACCTCGGTGTCTGGCTTGTGTCTGTCTCTCCAGCTGCTGAAGTTCGTTCCCGAGAAGAGCGACACCGACCTGTTGGAGGAGCATAAGCACGAAATCGAGCGCATGGCCCGGGCGGATCGTTTCCTCTTCGAGATGAGCAGGTCTGGTGGATACATCATGGGAAAGTGCATGGGGGGCTGCCTGGAAGCAGCTGTTATTGTTATTGAGAATGGATCATCTGGCGCTGAGGGGGAATGTGCTGGAGGTTGTGGGCCAGCATTATACCCTGCCTTTGCCAGAAGCCCACAATTGTTACAAATGTTTCCATTCATTACACAAAGTTTTTATTGACGATAAGCACGCTCTGTGCTGTCATTTAAGGACCAGTCCCCTGATGACAAGCAGAAATCTGCCTCCTCTGCCTAAACTTGTTCATACAAAAAGGAATTCAGACCCAGCTATCAGATGCAGTGTAGCCAGGGGTCAGGATTTCACACAGATCCCTTTTTCCATTCAGCTATCCCACCTTCCCATCCTCTGATATGCTCTCTTGTTCTAACTTTGCTACACCCCCAATCAGGTAAAACATCTTGTTCTGCTAGTTGAGATGCAGGTCGCATCTCCTGTGACTCTCATATTTTGAGAGTAATGGTAATTCTTCCAGCTCCTATCCACTTGTGATCAAAACATGCCTTGAGGTCCTCCATTTTCATTAACAAGGTGGATTATGTAGTGTTAGATGTTTGAACAATGTCTGTAATCCCATGCATAGGCTGTGTGGGACTCAACATTCAACCATTAGGTTATGTAGGCAGCATACTGGCCCTGGACTTCGAAATACAGTTCTGGTTCAGTCTTGGCCTTTCTCTTCCCTTCATGCAGGATTGACCACTATCAGCAGCGACTGCAAGCATTATTCTTTAAGAAGAAGTTTCCAGAGAGGCTGGCAGAAGCAAAACCAAAAGTGGAAGGTATGGTTAAAGTTTTTGTTATGAGCTGGGTAGAGGGGTAGGGAAGGTCAGCAGTCTTGTCTTCAGAGGAAGTGCCCTTACACATGGGCTATGGGTGTAGAGCCAGTGAGTCCAAGGCATGTCATGTGCTAAGAAATGAATTCTGACACTCTTCTTGCACTGACAGACTTGATAAAGACAGTTTCATGATTGTTACACTGTAAATATGACCTGGCAGAAGTGACAGTGTGCTCCTAGGCTGTGCTGCCGCTGCCAGGAGCTTTCATGACCTTTCAGTGCAGGTCTGCCTTCCCTTCTCACCCTCAAGTCCTTGCACCTTCCTTACTTACCTTGCAGTACCTTAGGATACTTCAAATTATGGGCCCAAGCTTGTTAAAACCAGCTGTCTCAGGACAGTGGTATTCTGAGAATGTTTAACTTCTAATGAAAGGGAGCGTATGATTTCTGTGCCACATCCATGGTGGCCATAGAGAAAAGTTGAGTGTTCTACGCTGTATTTTCAGATGAGCTCAAGCCTTCCCACCCCCAGCCCCATTCTTACTGGCTGTGTTTTTAGAGTGTGAGGTCCAGGAGAACAGCCTTGCTCCTGGGTTCAGGGGAGCATCCTACAGGCTAGATGTAGTGCATCTTCTTTCCAGTTGTCCTGGTTCTAGGTGTGTGGATGAGGAAAGGGTGGTACACACACAGATTGTGTTGCAGCATTTGCTGGGCAATAGTCAGATGGGCATTTTAGGATACTTCAAGTTACTGGCCCAAGAACATTAAGAACAGCTACCATGCAATAACCTGCTCATATTTTTTATCTCTTTTCAAGCCATTCTTCTGGCATCCAAAGAACTCATCCGAAGCAAGCGTTTGAGGCAGCTCCTGGAGGTAGTTCTCGCCTTTGGGAATTACATGAACAAGGGCCAGAGAGGAAGTGCTTATGGCTTCAAAGTCTCCAGCCTGAACAAAATTGCAGACACCAAATCCAGCATAGACAGGTAGGCTAGAGGGCCATAAATGAGTTAGTTACTGTACTGCTGCATCTCTTATCATAGTAATGAATGTAGGTTTTGTTTGTTTTTAGCTCTGTAGAGCATTTGAAATAATGTCTTGTTTGGCATTTAAGTAGTACTTTTCACTCTAAAAGGTCCTACAGCAGTGAAGACCAGCTATTAACACAGCACTCAAATTCTGCTGTTTCTTTGGATAATGCACATCTGTTGTTGGATTGTGTTTCTGCAACACTATGCAAGGATGACAAATTGTAGTATTTCACAGATAACTGAAATAAGTCTGGGGAGGGAGGCGTATTTCTATGGAATTTGCCCTTTACATCAAAGTTTTATGGCCATGGTTTTGCAAAAAAAGAAAGCACAAAAACCTCTGACCGCAGTTTTATGTCTCCTGTGAAACATGTCATATGTTTCTGATGCAAGACTGTCATAAACTGGTTGTCCACCTACACCAATAATGGGACCACAAGGCATAGCTCAGAAAGGTTGAGCCTAGTTGTATCTAGAGCTGTTAAGGAAAACAGCTGGTTTTGGGAAGGTGGAGATTACTATTTATGGACATGGGCTGCAGGTCTTTATGATGCTACTCCATGTTGGTCCTGGAAACCAACATGCCCACACCCCTATGCTGGTCCTGGAAACTCATCTGGCCATGACTGGAGAGTGAATATCACTTTTGGACTCGAGCAGCACTAAGGTTTTCCTTGGAAATCTCCTGTATGGGTTCTTACTAACTTGCACCTTCCCTGACTTGCTGAGACCGTAGTCGTGGTGAAATGGCTTCAGGCTGTGACAGAATGAATAATGGCAGTAAGAAGCCATAGGAAATTCATCCCTACCTAATAGAGTTTGAACTAACAGAGTTCTGTTTTGACTACCATGATGTCCTTTCTGTATTCCAAGGCTAACACTTGTGTAGCTAGTGTTGAACATTTTTTTGCCATAATGTAGTTTGGCTCGATGTTCCATATATTAAATGTCCTGTGCAGATTCTGTTCTCTCACCAGTTCCCTGCTCCCAGGCTCCAGTCTGTGTGAAGCAGTAGCCATCTGCTGTCTTGCTTGTCAGTTAACCACATAGCACCCACCTCCAGTAGCTGTTGTCTCTACGTGCAGTATTCAGTGATGCAAAATTCATCATTTACTTTACGAACTTTTTAAAACTTTATCTCTCACACATCTCGTTTCTATCCACTCCTACTTGAGCTGCTGTTGTAGTCGTGAGCCTGAGCACTACTCACAACTATGGCTGTTTCATTGCTGTAGGAGTTTTCTTTGCAGCTTCTTCCATCTTCAAGAACCTTTTCGTCTTCTTAGTTAACTCTTAGGGTTTTTTTCCCTATCACCTCTGAGAACGACTCACTTCTCCCTTGCAAGTTAACATCACTTCAGTACTATTAGTTGTTTATTCTCTGAAGGATACTGTGTTATGCAATTTGCTTTCCTGTTACACCATCTACACAGATGGATGGAAGCATGCTGGTGCTTCTAAAATAAATCAAGACACAATATACACAATATATTGCTTGATGTTTAGGAAGGGTGGTTCATAAAGGGCTAGTTCATTTCAGCCTGTGATACATTTATTCCCATAGCAGAGCTGCTAACTTGCTGATACTTTATTTGTCTTATCCATTCAAGAACATTTCCTACCCAAACGTTTTTCACCGATTTGTCACAATCCTTCCACCATCCTTTTCCTTCTCACCACCATATTCCTTCTCATTTCTACCTTTTTGGGCTTTTTTTTTTTTTAGGAACATTACACTGTTGCACTACTTAATTATGATCTTTGAAAAGAATTATCCGGATATCCTAGATATTCAGTCTGAGTTGCAGCATCTTCCAGAAGCAGCAAAAGTCAAGTAAGTCCAGTGCTCTCCCTGATTTCTGTTAACTTAATGATCATTGGTTTTTTCAGTGCTGTCTTCTAAACTCATGGCCAGCCTTACAGCTGAAATGCCTTTGCTGACATCCATGATGTTAGTCATATGCAAATCAACAGAGAATTTTCGTCCAAAAACATTTGTAGGTAACTAAATTGACAGCTTTATTCAAATATGCCTGTATCTACTGTATTTCCAAATCAGCCATTGTAACTAGACGGGTTGTTGTTTGCAATTCACTCCCTATATTCTGTGATAGTTCATCTAAGTCACATGCTATTTTTTCTGGATAATTGAAGAAAATACCAGCATTTTTTTCTTTTCAAAGTGCTGCTCAAAAATACCTTTGCATATTATTCACCTAGCTGTGATTCTTTATATAGGGAACTACTCCAGCTAACGAATGACAAATAAAAAAAATAAATGGAAATTCACATTTAAAAGCATTTATTAAGGCTTTAGTGGTGGTTTTGAGATGTAACTACTACTCACCAGATACTTGGAGGAGACGCCTGCTTCCTGACAAATAAATGCTACCTAGTTACCTGGAAATGAAAAGTTGGTGTTTTTTTTTCATACAGGTCCTAGAAAAAAGAAAAACTTCTTGTTTGTATATTACAATCAGAAATTCTGTACAGCACTTGTGTCTAGGGAAGCATGTATTAACATGAACAGAAGGGTTACATACTCAGTTACAGTGTAGGCTTGCAAAGGCTGCCATATGGTAGAAACGCAGATGGAAAAAACAATGTTTGGACTGTAAGGAAGACAAAAATCACATGTAAATGTACTGCTAATGGGATTTAGTTGTTAAATGGTTCAAGAATCATATACAATGAGAGACCCTGGTAATGTGTGTGCTAAAGCTGGAGTCCTTGCTTATCTCTCAACTGATTATTGCAAGCTGGCCATGTGGCATACACTCCTTGATGGAGGGTCAGGCTCAGCTCGCAGGACAGATGTTCTGAGAGCAACCCCCCTCTTCTTCCCAGGAAAATCCCTGTCTTCAGTGTGACCACAGGCGAGCAAGGTCTGCCTCATCTTCTGTCTCATACAAAAGTCAGCACAGAGCATTAACAGATCCCCTTCCCCTCATTTCTAATCATCTGGCGTGGCTGGTGCCAGAGGCCAGATACCAGACTTGATGGGCTGATGGGCTGTTCTGCTGTACAGTTCCTGTATTCCTGTGTAACACTGCTGCTTTTGTTTTATCTGCTCTGTCTCCTGTGCAGCCTGGTAGAGCTGGAGAAGGAAGTCAACAACATAAAGACTGGATTGAAAGCTGTGGAAGCTGTAAGTATCGGAAGGTTTCCAAAGCGCCATAATCAAAATATCTCACTCAGAATCCGGGGCACAATATATTTTATGATAAGAGAAAGTGGGCTTTCTTTTTCTGTTCCTTTCCATTTCATTCCAGAATACATTAACCAAGAAAAAACAAATAAAAGCTTCTCATGTGGAGCTCCTGCTGATGATCTTAGCAGACATAAGCTTAATGAAAAGCTTGTTTGATCTCAGCCTGAGAAATAAAAGGACAGTTTGACAAATGGCATGAACTGAAAGAAGAAATAAAATTCTTGCTCTTTCTTACTGAGGGATAGATGGCTGCTGAGCAAATGTTTCACATGGCTCTTGGAATAGTAATAAACAGGTAGAGCACTGTTATATGCAGTCCTAACCTGTCCTAAGCACTCTTTGGGAAGGCAAAGGAAAAGGTAAACTAGTTAAAGATGAGGGAGCTGAGCTGGGAAGCAAAGCAACAACGGTGGGGTTTTCTCTGCTGTTACTGAAGGGTTTTTAAGCTGGACTTAAGTTACCTGCGTTCAGTTTGTCCTTGGGTGTTGCAGAGCCTTCCCCCTCAACAGAGAAGAGTATGAACAGTGCACTGGTGCAGTTGTATGTACTGAATTATAAGAGTTAACGATGAGGGATGTGTCTAAACACTCCCTGAAGTCACAAGCTCATGTGTCACCTCTGGTTCCTTTACCTGGAAGCCTTTAGTTGGCATGTTGGGTTCATTCCTCAGGAAGGACTCCAGCCTTTCTGAGGCAGGAGAGCACAGAGTGAGACACCATGTTCGGTGGCAGGAGGTAGGAACTCTCATACTTGCCACTTGCTTACACCATTGACATATGTGTGGCTTTGAACAACCCCGTGTGTTTGCCTCCTCTCTGTGAAATGGCAGCTACAAATACCTGCCTCTCACAGGGGCTGATGTGAGAAATGGCAAGTCAGTGTTTGCACAGCAGTTGAAAATGTAAAGATCAAAGCCTAAAGTCACTGTTGTCTCTGTCCCTTAATGTCTCCTGTCATCTGCACAGATAAACAGTTTCTGACCCTCATTCTCTTCCTCTCTCTTTCTGAAAGTATAGGAACAAAATCCTGCATTCAGGTTGGTGTTGGCATCAACAGGTGCTTGCCTGTTGAGTGTACTAGGGCAAGCCTAGTGCTGAGAGACAAGGCAGAGGGCTTCAGAACTCAAGAAGGTCCCTGCCATGTCTAGCTGTTCTTTGCCCTTTCAAACAGGCTTTTTAGCCAGTTTTCAGTGTTCCCCTGTCTTCAGGATGTTTCACCTGTCTTTTTCAATTCCTGTTTAATGCTACTGGAGCATTCCAGATGCACAGCATTCTGTACTGGGACTGCTGGAAAAGGGACCCATTGTTGGGAGTTGCATTGGGTGGTTTCTGTGCAGGGATTACCTATCTACAGGGAACTAACAGAGGACCCTCCAGTCTTTCTCATCCACTACGAGGCAGATGGGGATGACTTCATTTTCCTTTCATGTGGCCTGAGTTTGGTTTGGCTCTAGGGGTAGAGGAAGGGATCTTTGTCCTGCCAGTGGCCCCCAGGCTGTCTGTCTGTCTCCAGCAGTTCATGTAATTAGCCAGTGATCCTCCCATGAAAAACAAATTTTCCAAACCTTATTTCTGGATTGTTGGGGTAAGGGTGGAGGCAGAAATGAGAATGCTGCTGCATACATGGAGTGCTGTGTTTACAAATTAAAAGCACCTATAAAGGGAAGGCTGACATGGAGTTCATGGCATAAATAGAGAACCAGTTTTGGCTGGGACAGACAATTCCCCCTATTGAAATGTGAGTCCTTATTTCTGTTTTGCTTTCTGTGATTGGGTTATTTGTCCTTTTGCCTTTACAGCCAATTTTTCTTCTCTTTCCCATACATGGGTCCAATGGGCAACCTCTCCTTCCCATTCAATCACCATCTTCCTTCCTCAGTCCTCTCCCTGCCATGGTATTTTTTTGTCTGGAGCTGCCAGCACCTCCCAGTCTGCTTGCTCAATTCGTGGTTTTCTGGCGTGTAAAAAGCAGCACTATAGCAACAATAGAAGATCACTGTCAGGTGGAAGGGGGAGGAGGAGAAGGTGTGATTCTTGATTCTCTTCCAATGTGTTCTCACCACAGCCTTGGCTCCAGTGACTGAAAAGTTTCTTCAAGGCCCCTTAAGAACAGAAAGCTAAAAATAGTTTCACAGTCAGATGTTCTTAAAGGTACTACTAACCCTTTGCCTTCCTGGACTTGCAGCTTCTTTGTAAAAATAAGACATATTCATTTTCAAGACATACGTTGCCTTTGTGTAGGCTGCACCCAGAAGGATAGATAAGTAGTTCTTGGTCTTCTCCAAATCAGGAATTGAATTCTGTCAGCAGAGCCCTTCTCTCACATAGCAAAGAGGTCATAACCACCACTTGAGAAACCACGGCCGTGGCTGAATCATTTCATCTCTCTTGGGAACCAGCAGCCCAGCCCAGCAGAGGCTGTTGTGCTGGTAGGACTAGCATAGGCCACTTCTGGAAGATACAGAAGAGTTTCTTATTCTCTGGCATTGCTCTTGGGCTGATTACATAGTCATGCTGGCTGCTTGTGTGGGGTTTTATTATTATTATTATTTTGGAAGAATTATTCTGCAGGGAAGAACTGAATTTGCAATTGAAGGGCAGACCACCTAATCATAATTTTGCTTTGAAAAACACTGCTTTCCAATAACAGTCCCAAATGCTGTAGCTTTCAACAGTGAGTAAGATGACAGAACTGTTATACTCACCTACTTGGGGAGGGGGAAAGAGGGGAGGGCCTAGAGGAACTTTCAGCTAAAATTAGCTTTAAATCAGAATGGGAAAGAGCGGCTGAAAAAAAAAAATGCATAATTCTTAGAAGCATGTGAAGTGACATTTCATGTACTTGTAAGGTACAATTCAAGGTGAACATAACATAGAGACAATTCATTGCAAAGTGATATAACTGAATAGTGTTCCCAGGACCGTCCCTTGTGATGTGGTAGGAAAACCAATGGAGAAAAGGATGTAATGCAGAAGAGGGGAAGTAACACTTCTTTAATGTGGACTTTTCTCCAGCCACCTGTTTGTTGCTTTTCCTGCACCTTTTTTTGCTTGTGGTTACATTCTCCTTCCAGCTCACGTCAGACCAGATGATATATCACATCTGATTTTAGATTGCTGATGGCCAAAATCATTCTTTGCATTCAGCAGCACTGTGGAGCAAATCCCAAGGAGCTTCTCAGCAGAGATGTTTATAAACCCACCCATTTGGCCCTGGGAACCAGTATTTTGATGACCAGCAACAGAGAGCACCAAACATGCATGTAGCTGGAGTTGCAGCCAGCACAAAAATGTTTTTTTCCAAAGGGAACAGAGGGTCAGATTATAACTTGACCTGCTGTTTCATGCTGCTTTCCCCACAGAGAAAGTAAGGCTTTATCATTTCCACTGATTATTCAGCTGAGAATAAAAATGAGGCCTAGATAACAATTTCTTTGTCCCCGTGAGACTGTCAACAGCACACAAGCCAAGAGCAGGCCCAGGAGACTGCCAGTCTTACTATAAACTAGTCATTTTGAGAAGCTCTGTAGCTCTTTCTGTGCCACAACTATGATGAATAGAGTAAGGGAAGAGATAGCATGGGTAATCTTGGCTTAATACTAAAAAACTTGAGCCAGAAAGAATCTTACTACTTTTTTTTATTATTTTTTTTTTTTCCTTTCTGTAGGTAGTGGACAAGTAGAGCTTAGTCTCCTGTGGTTTTATGTGTTTTTTTTGGGTTTTTTTTGGTTGGTTGGTTGTTTTGTTTTGTTTTTTCCCCATAAATCTTCATCTCACAATAGCCCCAGTTTATGACTCTGTGACTTTCATGACAACCAAGCTAATGCTTATTGGTTAGCAGGGTGCCAGTAAATGTTACACCTGACCTCTGTCTGTGTGTTCTTCAGTGAGATGTCTAATTCTGATGTCTTTTTTGCTGCCTACCTAATGCTTTTCAGAGAACCAATGCAGAGATGCAGAGCTAGGAGCTATATAGATTATTAACATGTGCATGCAAGTATACAGCCTTTTGAGTCACAATGAGAAGAAAAGATGGAGGGAAACTCACTATTAAAATCTACAAATTCACTTGCTACACAATCCAGGTTCTCTATTATTTGTCATTTTGCATTGGAAAACAAACTGCAGCATTTCACATACTTGATGCTTAAATTACAAAGTTGCATTAGAAATTCAACATGTTGATGGCTTTCTTGGGAGTGGGTGTTGTTTGAGCATAAAGGGAACTGCAACTATGACCCTCCTTCATCCCATCTTAACTTCCCCTTTCATGCTGAAAAGATAAAACCTTTGACTTAGAAAGTGGTTTCTGAATTACAGTCTGGATGAATTGTGTGTGGAGTGTGAGCAGAGCATGCTCTGCACTGAGTAAAACAGATGGGCTTTCCTGCTCCTTGTCAGTGAGCAATCTTTGACCCTTGCCTGTCTCTCTCTCTTCTTCTCTATCAGGAACTGGATTATCAGAAGAGACGCATGCGGGAATCAGGGGACAGGTTTGTTCCTGTCATGAGCGATTTCATCACTGTGGCCAGTTTCAGCTTCTCTGAGTTAGAAGACCTTCTCAACGAGGCTAGAGACAAGGTAAGAATACCTTTTGAAGTGTTTGAGGTTTCACTGTGTCCTTTCAGTGTCTGTATCTCCATTACCAGATTTGTGCAACTAAGGTTTGTCCTTTGCTAATGACTGGAGCCTGGCACTAATCCCTCTATCTCTCAGCTGAATGAAGAAGAATTTATATGAAAAGATCATAAGCAGAAGAAAATGTTTAGAGAAGAGCAAGTTCTAAAGTGAATGATATGTAGTGGCAAATCTGCCCTTGGGCCCAGTGTTGGTTTGGTGTTATAGATAGTGGTGGTCCTTTCTTTTGGCATATGAGGACAAAACCCCAATGAAGATTCTTTACAAGGTCAGTTGGGGGTTAAAAGCTGGCAAGTGGTGCATGTGCAGCACTGCAATGCAGCCTTCCTTGATCAGACACTTGCAGGAAAAATGCTGTCCTTTTGCTTTAAGAAAAACCAGAGAATCTCCCTATACACAGATCAATATGTCTAGAAAATTGTCACACACTTTTTTAGACATAGCCAACATAAAGCACTCGACATAAAGAGTTGTTTTATTTTAATGACTATAACATGCTTAGGGAACATTTTTCTACATTCCCCTCACACACCCTTACTATGTTTGAACACGTGCCATTCAAACTTCTGCTCAACCTATGGCTTTAGTTCTTCCACTGGCAAAAAGCTGCTTTTGGACTCTTAAAAGAGAACTGTCTGTCCTTAGCAGTACTGAGCTATTTCTCATGTTTGCGTCATATTACTTTTCCCCCTCTCTTCTTCCTCTTTTTCCTCTTTTTTCTTAAAAAAAAGTAAAGGGAAAAGAAAGCTGGAAATTTTCAACAAACCAGATGTACTTTGCAAAACCTGTAACATCTTCCAACCTCAACGGGCTCTCCGTGCTTGTTGAATCACAAGCTTTTTTTCTTACCATGGAAACCTACTATAACTAGCCAATTAAAGGAAGAGGGGGACCAAGACATCAGATTATTCTGTTCTTTTTTGTTTTCTCAGAGCAAAGCAAGTTGAAAAAAAAGGTAGTGGGAGCGGGAAGACTTATGAAAATATCCTAATGGGCCCAGGAAGAATTGGTCTGGTTCACAGATTTATTAATAATAATGAAGCCCTAGTTTTAACAGCTGGAGTTGGATATCCTTCTAAATATAGATGCGGCTAATTGATTGCCATGAGTTAATCAGAGCCATGTTTCCTCAGCTGGGATTTAAAACAATACAAATTACATTTTCAAACCTGGGAAATTGTTGCTTGTTTGTTTTCTAAATGTCTTAGTATTAGCAAAAGTAGTTTCTGTACTCCTTTTAGTCATGGAAACAGTCCATTACCATGGTGTGGTGCTGACCTTCTCTGAAGACGACATTTTTCACAATCCCATGCAGAACTTTTTTTGGCTGTTTTACTTAAATGGGACAATTTACGGTTAGTGGCCATGAGGAGGAAGTGATATTTTAAATTTAAAGAGCCAGGTTGTCATATGCAGGCATCCCTGTTCACAGAGAAAGCCTTGTAACTGTACTTATCTTCATGCAGTAAACAGATGGCTTGGTTAAGAACTGATTGAAAACTTAGACTGACTCCCTAGCACAGCTGGTTCTTGTTCTTCTTGTGTTTTTCTCACTTTCAATACCACTTTATAAGGGAATATATAGATTAGATCAAGGGATAATGTTTTCTGCCATTTCCCATAAACTGGAAAGTAGGGGCAGGACAAAGTGAAATTCTGCCCTGGAATCCTTCACCAGTTTTTATGTGTTTGAAGAGAGGAAAAATGGATTATTTTTTTATACATCAGAAAGAGCATTTTGTTTGTGAAAATTTTTCTTTGTGTTTCCTATGGGGAAGCAATGAAAATGCTCAGGCAGAGGAACAGTGGCCTCGCATGGTATGAATTTTATTTTCCTACTTGAAAAAAGTGACAACTTGCCCTATATGAAGTTTTACAACATACTTAAATGTTGACAGGGATGAATTTAGATCATTAGACTACATCATAACTCTTATACTTTGTGCTTGGCTTACAACAAACCTGTTTTTAAAATGTTTTGGATCTTCCTAGAAGAACAAGGTCTCCTTACTCAGGTATTGCCGTTCCTATGATGCATTTAAAACTTATGCCTCTTTATAGAGGTAAAAGGGAGGCTGCTGCCTGGGCAAAGGTGATGAGGCAGGTAGGAAAAGTGTCCCCAGTCTTTCTCATGACAAATCCTCTCAAGAAGTGTGTTTATCATGATAGAGAAAGGAGTTCAGACTCTGCACATGCATTTAATAAGCTTAGCACATATAGTAACTGAAGAACAGCAAGGCAGTGAAAGCCAAAACCCATTTAAGGAAATAGTAATTAATGGCAGAATGCTATGGAGCATACAGTAATACTGTAGTCCAAGTGCCAGTTACAGGCAGTGCACTTCAATCATTTATTTTAGGGGACTAGTATTTTCTGTCAGCCACTGGGGCTAATGAATAAGGAAAGGATCAGAATGGAGACTGAGGAACTCCAGACAAGGTGTGTTAGAAAGGGCATGAGCAGGCACCACAGCTGGCTGTCAGGAACAGCCTTTTGGTAAATGAATTACATAGCTGTTGTACAGTAACTTAGAACTGCAGTTGCATCAGGGCAGGTTGACATCTAACATATCAGAAATGTTTGTAGCACCTTGTCTCATCCCATTTGGTGGGCTACAAGGGAGTCGAATCCTTATAATCCCCCCAAAAAGGGCTACCTCTGAACAGCAAGGCCACAGAGGTGTTGTAGTCACAGCAATGACTCAGAAAACAGCACAAAACCATTTATTAGTTCTTCCTAATGACAATCAGTAAAGGCACATGGTTGAACAGCAGTTTCCTTACTTGCAATGTAAGGCTAAAAAAGTGGCATTCCTTAATCTTAATAAAAATTAGTAGAAGAGAGATAGAAAAGTAAGACAGAAAAGAAAAGATAGGAGAAAGTTAACAGAACCACCCATGGATTCAGCTGTGTTGTCTTGAGCTGAGGTCCTCGGCCATAGGTGATGGGTCTACACCGATTCTTTTGAGTCTCAAGTTTTTAGAGAGATATGTCCTCCCGTGGGGGAGTGTCTAAGTTGCTGGGTGGTCTGTAAGTTACACGTGCATATCATAGAGTTGAGTATCTCAAAATGAGGTGAGGAGTGTTTCATAGGGTTTTGGGTGGTCGTTTTGATCGGGTACCCCCATAAAGTGTCTGACCAGTACTTGACCTCCTCCAAGTGTGCACTCTGTTGAAGTCAGGGGAGTGAAGTTAGTCGGCCCGGCCTCTGCTGGGGCCCACCAGCTCCTCCCATATCTCCACTGCAGAGCCCACACCTGTGTGAGAGCTCCCGCTCCTGAATCTCCACCATAGAGCTGGTACTTGTGTAAGAGTTTCAAGGCAAGTTCACCTTACCATCCTTGACATGCATATATCTCCATTTTGGGGCTGCTTGAGTCATTGTTAACCTCCTGTGAGAATCCTTTAAGAGCATTTAGGCACAAGGAGGCCTGGGTTCAGCCCTGCCTGAAATTGGGCAGGGCCATTCCATTAACTGATCTGAATCTGTCCCATAAAGAGAAGAGACATTTATTTGACCTGCCTCAGGGCAGGCTTGGAGTCTTCATAACAGCAAATTCAGGATCACCTCTGTGGGGAAGACAGTTCACGGTGCATGGCTACACAGTGTAATTCAGTTGTGAATGGACTTCTCCTGCAACAGCAGACAGCACAGACGGCAGGGAATTTTTATCATGGCTGTTTTTCCTCCTCCTCCTCCTCGAGCCCTGTTCCTGTCGTTTCCAGAGCTCTTCTGCCACTGTTTAACATTTCATTGGCAAGCCCAGCAGAGAGCATGTATGCTGCTGTCCCGCGCTCCCTCTCCTTGCTAAAATGGCTTTTTAAAATAAACAACTGTCTAAACGATTTGCTTTGGCAAGAGGATGAATTCAGTGGAAAGTTTGGCAGAGGAAGCAGAGCTGGCACTGAGCTCGTGGACCTGTTATATCATGGAGCTTGGGGGCCCTTATGGTGTGGAAATGAAGTTTTTAATGAAAAAAAAGCGGTACCATCCTGTGTTGCAGTGGAAAAGCTGCTGAAACACAGTTTTCCATCTTGCTTTTGCCCATGTCATCTGTCCCTAAATGACTTCGGGAATAAGCAAGTTTCAGCTCTTGTTCCACAATATTACAGCACGTCACAAAATTCTGGGAAGCGTTGAGCGTGCATGAGGACTCAGCTACAGATTTCACAACTGTGCAAGACAGCAGGTACTGTTTGGCAGGGAGGCTTCTCAGGGAGCAGCTGAACGACTGTGCAGGGTGACACAGCTCCTGCAGCAGAGAGCAGAAGAGAGGGCTGGCTCCAGAGCACCTTGATCTGCACTGTGCTGCCTCTCACACCCAGGGAAACGTAGGAAATGTGTTTTTACTCACTGTGGGCAGGGATGAGCCTGAGGTTCCTACCAGGGTTGGGGGGGCTGCCTCCAGCACCTCGCTGCCCCTCGGCCTGGCACCGGTGCTTGGAAAAAGCACACGCGATAACAGAGCCAGAGCTACAGGGAAATAGAAGAAGTCATGTAAACAGGGGGGTGTGTTGCAGTTTAAACAGGGAAAAGGCAGCATGGTTCAGCTTTACAATAATGCACGGGATTGATGTAGTGCCCTAAAGATATGAACAACAGGTTTTTGCTGTTTCCTGCAATAGATTAGTGGGGCAACGCTTTCTGTTCTGTAGCAAACGGAGAAAGGAAGGATCCCAGAGGGAGCATGAAGTCCCAAGCCACATCATGGGCAGAGTTGGAAGCAGAGGCTGGATCTCCTGACTTGCCTTCCTCTGCTCAGTCGAGGTGGAGTTTTTTTGAGGGGATAGAGAAAGAAGGAAAATGTTTACTTCAGCGAACCGCAGATTTCTCTTTCTTATTATTTTAGTACATCTAGCTCACAAATTTTTGCTTTTCATCTCCCTCTGCTTTACAGTAAGTGATTGTGACCTACTAAGCCATGTTACAGGGCACCAAAGACAGGCTGTTCTCAGCCTCCTCCTCACGGCTGCTTAGAGACCACAAACACCTTATACTCATGAGTGTCTCTGGAAGGCTCCCAGGCTGCTGAGTCTTTCCAGCACAGCAACAGTGTTTCTTCTCTGAGTGGCAGCAGGAAGGCAGTGGCAAAAGCCCCTCTGCCAGGGTGACAAGAACTAGCTGGTGCTGGTAGTTGGGTGACACGCCGTGTGCAGGACATTTGCAGACAACACCACCCTCTAATGGAGACTTCCATGTATGTAGGATCCAAGAGCCCCAGGCAAGGCCCCCCTCCTTTTCAACGCCCTGCCTCCCTAAAAGACTAGGAAAACCATATGGGTGTTCATGGGCACAAAGCAGCTTGGTTCCTGTGTGCCCCCTCACACACCTTTGCTGTGCACAGGAGGAACACAGGGGACAGAGGTGGTGCATCAGCAGGTACAACAGGCATCTCCTGGGGGCTGCCCCTGGAATACAGGCTTCACAGGAGGTGGACAAGCCTTCCGTCTAGCTGGCAGGTCCAGTCACTGCTCTCAGTTTTTGCCTTGTTTTCACAGGAGTTAACCACAAGTTAAGTGGCAAGAGATTCCAGGTAGCACATCTCCTGTGAGCAATGGGCTTCAGGCACTTTGTGTGCCCACGTAGCAGTGCTGGTGCCTGTGCTGAAATCTTTCTCTGGCACTCCTGCTCCCCTGGCATGCTAGAGCAGCCAAGCTAAGAAAATGTGTCACATGGACATGCTTTATCTCCTGTGGTATTGACAGCTTATATTTTCTCTGCTGGTGTTGGTCAGTGTGGATTACTGTGAGACAGCTGCACTTTCCTTACATTCAAGCATATTGTGTACATTATATACAGAGAAAATACATATATAGAGAGAGAAGGGTAAGGAGAGGGAGTAGATGTGCATGCTTGTGTGTGCGTGTCTTCAGAGGTTTCACAGAAAAGGAGTTAAAACAGAGAAGTAATCTGTTACAGTTTCCATACTGTGAAGCCCTTCCATGACTCGCTGCTATAGTGCTTCCTTCAACTCCTGCCATGTTTGGTAGCTCAAAGCAACTTGCATTTCTTCCAACACTTTTGGTTTTTTTTTTCCCCCCCTCCAGATACTTTGGGTTTCTTTGTTTATTTCTGGCTGAGAACACAGCCTTTTTAAAGAAAAAAGAAGCTATTGCTTCAAACTGCTTTGTGGGCCTGGCAGGGAAAGCAGAGGAGGGGAGATGCCGAATCTCTCAGGCTGTGCCAGAAGGAAGCTGCTTTCCTTGGAGATTTCTTCCCCCTGCAGTTGACTGGGAGATGTTGTTTATGCTTTACCTGGTACAGGGCCAGTGGGGCTTATAAGACACGCTTCCAAACTCGTTTTGTGCTTGAAATTGGAGCCTGAACTGTTCTTACAGGCTTTTCTGTTCTGCAAGAGCACCCACCTAAGGAAAGGGAAGCTGTGCTGTGTTCCTGTGCGCTGCATACACACACACACATTGGAATCTGAGGGCTGTCCACAGCCTGGGGGAGTCTGGGTTTGGTTTGGTGAACACTGAGGTCTGTAAGGATGCTCTGTGGCACAGTGGTGGTGTGTTACAGTGCAGGCAGGGACTGCTGATGGAGCTGTGTCAGGGCACCAGTGCCATCAGGAATGTGTTGTTGGTCCTGCCTGTCGTGATGCAGAGGTGCATGAGTGAAAGTGGGTGGATGATGATTCAGCTTTTGGATGCATACACTAACATGTGACTTAGTGGACATGTGCATATATGCTGTTGACAGATGATATATGCATGCATTTGAGTGCATTTTGGTGAGTACAGAGGTATGCTTTGGAGTATGAGAGAGCAAAGAAGAGAGTACAGCTACTGCAGGACTGATGTCCAAGGGCCAGGGGTTGCTGTGAATTTACCATATCCCAATCAGGACTGCCCAGTGACTGAAGTCCTGCCAGTTGGCTGCCTCCATATGCATCCTGCAGCCTCAACAGTTGCCTTTTAAAATAAAAGCCACTTGTGATGTATTCACTCTCTTTCAAGTCTTCCCGGGAGTCCTGGCTGCTTTCCTTGCCCCTCTCCTCTGCCATGTCTGTTCATAGTCTGCTCTCTCCCAGGCAACACCCTGACTCAGAGGACTCCAGAGTGACAGATGACATAGCAAAAGGCTCCTGAGAGGACAGACTCTAATGTTGTTGCAATAAAACCCTCTAACTCCAGCCATTTTAAAAGTGGATTCGAGGGGAAGGTGGACGGGGAAAGGATGAGCTAAAACTACTTGTTTGGCAGCTAGCCCACTGTCTTCCTTGCTCCTGGTGTCCCACAGCTGCAGCTGAGATGTGGCCAGACGATCGTCCTCTGAAATTACATCATCACCCTCAGGCACTGAACATGTTGAATTTTGTATAAGTGGACAGCTAGTGCTCTCCAGCACTGCTTCCCCCTGTTCCCAGAGGATATCCAGGAGAGCAGACTCCTCAAGGACAGAGTCACCTGCCTTAGGGAGAGGCACTTCTGCTGCCAGGGGGTAGTTTCTGCTCTCGCTGTGTGAACGCTCAGAGAATATTGAATTGCGTGCGTGGTTACTCCTCAGCTTTCCTCACTGTCTTCACCAAACTGCCTGCCTAATTATTGCTCTTGTGTTTTCTACCCCCTTGACAGTATGCCAAGGCACTGAAGCATTTTGGAGAGAGTGAGGGCAAGATGCAGCCAGATGAATTTTTTGGCATCTTCGACACTTTCTTACAGTCATTTGCAGAGGCCAAGCAAGATCTGGAGAATATGAGGAAGAAAAAAGAAGAGGAGGAGCGCAGGGCACGCATGGAGGCCATGGTGAGGACCTGGGCACGGGAAGGTTTTCCTTTCTTAAGAGAGAAAGATTGAGAGAGCCAATCTCAATGCTCATGTCCTGTCGTTGTTTTAGGTCCTTCTCTCTGCCACCTCTCCTTGGCATCATTCTCTTCACAAATTATAACATTTTTCCTGCTGGCTGTCATGTCAGCTTCCAAGCGCATACAGTTTGGCTCCTAAATTACCCTCTTTTGGATTCAAATACCAAATCTAGCCCTGCCTGTTCTGCCTGGGCACTTTGCAGAATGGTGCTGCCCCTGCCCAGTGCCAGACTGTCCTGCTTTTGGGCTCCAGGCTCTGTGCAAAACACTGGGAGCCAGATCCCCCTCAGCCCTGCCAGCTGGTCAGCTTCCACTCAGACTCCATCATCATCTGCTGCGTGCCTGTCGCCCGACGGCGTATGGTGACACGGGGAATGCCCTGGCACCTGCTGCAGCTCACACTGCCAGTATTCCTCTCTGGCCAGCCTTGGTGCCTTGATTACCAGGGCCACGTCTGGCCTGCATGGTGAGAGAGCTTTTGTGCATCGTTGATTTTGCTGCTGGGAGGCAGACGTGTGTGTCCCCAGGGGTTCATGTGAACCATCCTCCCCCTCTAAGCTCGGCCATTCCCGAGGCCTGAGAAAATCCCTGGCCTCCTTCCCTCCTACCAGCACTTTAACCCCAGCTGCTGCCAGGGCCCTGTGATGTGCTGTGGGGAGTTGCTGCTTTAAATGTTTGCTGTGCCCAGAGCACTGGTGTGTGCCTTGTAGAAGAGGAGAGAGGTAAAATGCCAGGATGCCAGCAGCCTTACTGTTGGACACAGGGATAAAATGCTGGGAATTAGGCTCAGGTTTCCTCTCAGCCAGCCTGGAAAGTGTAGGAGCCCACTCTTGAACCACTAGGATGGTTTCATAGGCCCAATACACCAGAAGAGAGGCTGCAGTTTGCTTATGAAAAGAGTCTTCTGGCAACATGTGGCTAGCATGCAGAGCAAGTGACCTGCTTCCTGACAGCTGCATCCATCCCTTGCCATTTCCACTGGTCTTGGAGCTGAGCAGGGGAGGAGGATAACTGAGCTCCCTGGAGCTACCCTAGGGAGGCCGAGGGCATCTCTTTGACAGGTGGATCTATCCAGTGATTTGTAAAAGCAGCAGTTCTCTTTCGTTGTTCTTTGTGTTTATAACACAAAGTTAAGAGTTGAGGCAATGTGCCTTCCTCTTCCCATCACTTCCACACGCTGCCTCCATCCAAACATGAGCTGTTTGTTGGATAGGGTTTCTGCTGATGTTTTGATATCTCAAACAATTTTAATTCTTCAGTATGTTTAGCTTGCAGCTTTCTAGAGGTTTTTGTTTCTTTTCTTCCTTCTGTGGGACTGCAGCCTTGCTGCCTGTCAATTTACCTAGCTATGCCCCAAGTGTAAAGCTATTTGTGACTATACTAGTGACTGTGGTTCCTATAGACACATCCAAACTAACTTGAAACTCACTAGGTTAGGTACTGCCAGCATAGTAGATGCTGCCACACTAATGTAACTGCAAGCCTGATCCCAGAAGCTGGCTCATTACCTCTGCCAGCTTCACTTGTCGAGTGTCATTTGGCACAGCTACTTTGCTGGCACTATCCTGCTGTAAAATCAGTGCAAAACAGCAGCAGCATACCCAGATCCTGTGTGTTGCCTCTGCTCCAGGGTGGTAGTGCTTTGTGAGGCAAACGTATGATGCTACTCATTCCTCATCTCTCCTGCTCTCTGCTTACCTGTGCAGAAGAGGGGAAGCCCAGCATGGTTGCCTGTTACTCTTGGCACAAGTGATGGCCCTGTGGATAAGCTCCTGGTCTCCCTTTTTCCCTAAACTGTACTGGTGTATCTCAGCTGCTTCCTGGCAGTGTGCCTAGCAGTCTGACACCTTAGCTAATCCTAAACTTCTGTGTCTTTCTCCACAGCTAAAGGAGCAGAGGGAAAAAGAGAGGCGACAGAAGAAAGCAAAAGCTGGAAGCATCTCTGAAGAGGGTGGGGAATTTGATGACCTGGTGTCAGCATTACGGTCGGGTGAAGTCTTTGACAAAGACTTATCCAAGCTCAAGCGCAACCGCAAGCGTTCGGGGAACCAAGGCTTGGAGACGAGCCGGGAGAGGGTGGTGACAAAGCTAAATTATTAATTACAAGAGGAAGAAAAATAATCAGCCAAAAGAAGGTGATGAAAAAGTGCAAAACAAGGGAGACGAATGTGTGCGATGGCGCCTGGCTGACAGCTGCCCCAAAGGATTTCTCTGGTCTGTGGCTAGAGACGTTACCTTTCCATGATCAGCTTTCCTCTCCTCCCTCTTCTGTGCTCCTCATTTGAACCATTATAAAAGTGCCTCTGTGGAGCCAGCAGGGCCTGTGACTGGGCCATGCAGAGCTGACAGATTTGATTCTGGGAGTTTATTGTGTCATCAAAGGCCTCATGGTGATGACAGAAAGTACTTGGGCCTTGCAGACTGCCTCACAGCTGGAGAAAGATAATATTCTACGTGCCAAAGTGAAAGCTAGTCATGATCTCCATCTTGCTGATAATAAGCAAGACTCATTTCAGAGCATCTGTAAACACCTGTCGCTTCTTCAGGATACAGACTGGCTTTCAGGGGCTTGGCAAGATGTGGTTCTCAAGGTTTCCAATTCCCTTCAAGAGTTGGATTTTATAAGCCATTGATTAGCACCTGGAAAATGCTTTTGATCTCATGTTCTGTATAGTGTTTTTGTGTGGCCTACACTGTCCAAAGGAAGTAATTTTCAGAAGAAAGTAATCAAGTTCTGGAGCAAAATGAAATTCAAGAATCAAGGTCAATAGAAAATAATTTGCAAAAGTCGTTTCTAGAAGGAGTTTTCTGGAATTTGTTGATGGCTGAGCCTTGAAGCTGTGAAATGTATCTTCTAGGAAAGAAGCTCTGGCTTTTCTTTAGGAAACTAAGCCACTGCCAGGTTGGGATTACAAGTAGATGACTCTGGAGCCTGTTGTCATTGCTGGAGGGTGGTAGGGAAACTGAACATTTCTCACCTGTTTGTGCAAGATTTCTTAATGCAGGCCAATGGAAACCAGGAGCTCCCCAGTATGATCCACAAGTCACAAGTAGTAAAAAGCAAACCAGGTCACTGGCTGCAAGAGATGAGATTTCTTTCCCACTTGATGCTAACCGTGATTGCTGTTGGCATGAACTGGTCTTTCTATCTAACAGGCTGACCCTCGCTGCACACACCCCACTCTGACCTAGGGGAATCATGTAACTCAGTAAGATATGGATGGCATCAAAAGGAGATCCTTGGGGCCCACAGTGTTTTTCATTCTGAAGAGATCACTTGGGATGAACCAACAGAGGTTCCCATAATGAAAACTGAGAATTTTTCCAGGACACAGGACACAGAATTGTGTAAGCCCACCAGGCTTTGGAGATGGGTTCATTCGTAAGGGAAAACAAACAAATCTGTATTTAAGATACATGTATGATGCACACAGTGTAAAGGCAAAGAACCCCAAGAAGAGACTTGAATCCTGAATTCTGTGTGTTTTCATGGCTGTAGGAACGGGATTGGATTGTGTGGGCTATCATAAGTTTGGTTTGTTGGGTTTTTTTTGAACCTTGTCTTCCTTTTTTATTATCTTCCCTGGAGAAGGAAAAGAAAGAAATGGTGATGGATTCTTCCTCCTAGACAAGAGGAGAACAGAGAGAATATTTGAGAAGAGGGACCCCACCATCCACAAACTATGCATCAATAGTCAACAGCACAAAATGTGAAGGAATCCCAGGGAAGTGAAAAAGCTCTATTTGTCACTTTAATAATTTGGTTTGATTTTTCTCTGAATGTCACTTAACCTCAGGCTCTGCACCAAGTCTGCAGAACAGAACTTCCTCTGCCACGCACGCTGCCTGATCAGTATTACACCCTCCCCATATTGGAGAAGCAAACTCTGGTGGTCTTCCGAACACGTAAACTATGGAAAGAAGCGAAAAAACCGGAACTGTTCAACTCCAGTGTTTCATTGTTTACTGAATTTTGAGTTTCCCACCCCAGAATTTTCCTCCTTATGACATTCCAGACTGCCGCGCCTCTGTCTAGTACTCATGGTAAAGAGCTGGTATCTTACAAGAGCTGGGTGCATTCTCCTCCCTTCCTATCCCCCACTCCCTTTCTGGGATTAGCTATTAACAGCAAGGCCCATTGCAGCGGACACAAGCACCTTGTAGAAGAAAGACTGTATTTCATAAAGGTTTTTGAAAGTTTTAAAAAAGAACTCTCACTTTTTTTAAGCATTTTTTTATTTTAAATTACAAAATGGATTTTTAGAAATGTCTCTTGTAAATTATATTAACAAGCTCCTTGCTGCTCCCTGAAGTAGACATGCTATAGCCCAGCCCTTTTTGTTTGTCTTGTTTTAAAGCATGCCATATAACCTATGCCATGTAAGCCATATGAGAGGTGGTAATATGTGCCAAATTGGTATACAGTTGAGTTTAGATTTGGATAATCCCTGAATTCCAAAGATGATGCTTTTAGGGATTAGAATATCATAGGGTTTTTTTTTTCCTCTCTGTTCTCCCTGGGTTTAGGACTTACCCAGAAATTCAGGTGTAGTGCCAAGGTCAGCCCTGATGTAAGACGATGTGACTCATGGCTCTGTCCAGCTTATGGCTGCTTGCTTGCTCCCCAGGTACTTGTTTGATGAGGCAGACTGTCAGCATGGCAGCACTGTCAGAGCAGAAATACCTCAGGGCAAAACCCTTGAAATAAATACAGCATTCCCCCTGCCCCGGTATTTGTCAAACTACATTTGTGCTGTGCTTTTGGAAACTGAAGTCACTTTGCCAGGCCAAAAATGTAGCAAAAGCAGAGAGAGTGCTAAGCCCCCTGTCCCTTTGTGTGCACAGTTCAACCCCAATTTACAGATCCTGTATGATGGTGCGTGGTGCTCCAGCCACGCCGAGAGTCAACGAAAGCTGCTCTGGTTTTGCCATCTCCTTCACTCATACACAAGCAATAAGAGATTGTGCAACTCCTGTAAATCAGCTGTAGGATATTTATTGGGATGGACAGAAAGCTCCAAGTCATGCCCCTGATTCACTGCAGCTCAACTTTCTCAGCACTCCGGTGCCCCAGACTCCTGTTTTGGTGGCTGAAGGCTCTGTTCAGCTTGCTGGAAAGTCCCCCCTGGCCCTTGACTCCATGGTGAATCTTCATACAGAGGGTTTAGGAAAAGCTCAGTTATACATTGAGGCAAGCTGTGATTTCATATAAGTAGTGACAAGCAGAGAGGCCCATTAATAGGTCTACTGTATGAGATGAGTCTGGCCACACAGAACATAAGGAAAAGAGTTGGCTCTGCTCTAGGGCCTGGTGTCAGAAGTCCTTGCTTCTCATCTCTTGGGTACTGTGAGTGCATCTATGCTCTGTTCTCTATCAGCAGTTATGGTAGAGTTGTCAAGTGCTGAAGGAGAAAGGAAAATCTTACTCCTTGTCCTCTGCAGCTAGCAGAGCCTGAGCTGGTATAGCAAGCAGTCGTGAGGTGTAACATTGAGGCATAACCCCTACTGCACCGAGAGCTGGAGAAGAGCTAGGGGCTGCTGTTGTGCTTGCACATGGGCCTAGCGCCACCATTTTAAGAGAAAATACTGTCTTTGGAAATAAGAGGAGGGGGAGTGAGGAAAGAAGGGTGTAACTGAGGGCTTGTTCTGCTTCCTGCAGAAACGCAGTCATCGCTAACTTTACAATGAAGTTCCTCACACCCAGAAGAGAAGGTACTTTCTAACTCTCCAGACGTCGTCCCTAGAGGTCTGGTGCTCACTCACTCACAAACTCACTCACCCACCTCTGTGTCTCTGCATTGTTCTTAAGCAGGTTGCTTTAGGATTATCCCAGAAAAGACTGAAGACATCCCTCCACCTCCCACTCCCTTTGGTCTGGGTCACTATTCTCAGTCGGTCATAGGCCTCTGGAAATGCTACAAGGTAAAGTGACTTCAGGGCAGCAAGGCCCATCTGTGCCCTGCAGCACAGCTGTCGTCTGGGCACCGGTTCCCTACGAGAGCAGAAGTAGGACTAGTGTCCAGGGGTGAGAGACCCCCCGCTAGGGAGGTGCCCTGGGAGTTCTTCAGAAGCATTTCTGTAACGTGTTCACAGTGTCTGAGGAAGGGAAAGGAATCGCGAGGGGCCCTGGTGGGGGGCTGTGGGGCAGGTGGTTCTGTAATGGTCAGCCCCAGTGGCTGAATCTTTCCTCTTCTTTAGGAAAGCTCACGCTCTGAGCTGGTTTGCATGGGAGAAGCTTCTGTCAGGAGTTTCCATGAGGGGAAAGGAGATCAGTTGTACAGTTGATGATGTACATGATATATGCAGTTTTGTTTCTGGGTTGGTTGTTTTTGGGGTTGTTTTGTTTTGTTCTGTTTTTTTTTGTTTGGGGGTTAAATGATTTAAAAATAAAAGGTTTTAGAAATCTGTAAGGGGAACCTGTAAATCTGACACCTCTATTTATTTTGCCTTATTTTAGTTTGCTATGTTTGTATGTATACACTGCATTACAGCAAAGACTATTGAGACCGTGCCAGGGCATTACACCGGCTGGACGGCTGGCTTGGCTACCGTGTGGCAAGCTGAGCTAGGCAAGGGGATGGGTGTGAGCAGTCTTGGTGTGGGAAGGGGAACAAAACAAATTTCCTCTTGCTTTCATCCTCATCGCTTTGCCCTGCTGATCCTGGTTGTTGGAAAGCACGTGGTGAACTGAGGCAGGTTGGTTATTTCAGAACGCTTTCTATAAGAACTGTTTATTACTCGTGGTGAATCACAGTGAGAAGACTGAGAAGAGTTAAGCTGCAAGCTGGTCGGTCAGACTTCACCCTTCCACACAAATTCTGTCCATAATGCCAGAGAAGTTTGGACAGATGGGCAAAAGTCATTCATGCCTTGTAATTTCTCACCAGAGTTAACGCACTGGTGAGACAAACTGGGGCAGTTCCCTGTCCTCAGAGCTAGTATTCCTTCTTATCTTCAAGGCCAAGGAAGAAAGATTTCCTCTGCTTCCCTTCTCTCCTCCTCTACCCCACCTTCTTCACATTATCCAGGGTAAACAAAGGTAGGGTTTCTACCAACAGAGCCTCTGGCAATCACCAGGTATTTGGGTCGATGGCTCCTTG